ATGACTTTTTAAACCGTTTAACTGATTGTATTAATCTTGTATTAATTGTATTCTTACCGTCAATAAAATAAACATCCCTAACCGCTTTATAAAAGCAATAAGCCCCGTGAAGCCGTGGTTTACAGTGAATTTATAACAGCTAACTGGGTTTTTAACAACGCCCCTTAGCTGTTATAAATTCACTGTAAACCACGGCTTCTTGGGGCTTATTGCTTTAGTATACAACTCTGTTTTTGAGTGTTGATTTTTATATCTAACAATGAATTACAATAGGATTTGAACATTTGACACTTGGCATTTTGTACCTGATATACATCCATGAACCGATATCGAATCTAACTGAGATCTGAATCGAATCAAATGTTTGTGCATCAGAACTGAAGAGTGAAGTCTGTGTCCTAGTTACTGCTATTCAGCGCTGACCAGATCATCTGAATGAGAAGTGAAATGTTTCCATACAGCAGACCTTGTTGTGCGAGATGCCGGCGGAGCAGCGGAATCCAGTGTGTTCCTCCACAGCGGCCCTCATCTCCTCCACGATCAGAGCGCCGACCGTCAAACACAGCTCCGCACGCGAGGACTGACCGCTGGAGGACAGATGCCCCAGCCACTGCTGCAGGCCCCGGAGCCGCCGCTCCTCTGCACAGACACCAACACACCGCTCGAGCGCTCGAGCCTTTCCAATGCAAATAACAAGGGATCTGCTGCCACACACCTTTATCAATCGCTGCGTTCTCACTCGGATCACTGGTGCTGGTCTGTGGAAAGCCTTGAGCGTAGGTGCTTTTCAGCTGCTGCGGCGTAATGTCCTGGACGCTCATGTGCTTCAGTCTGTCCTGCACGCTGCCGGTGAGGTCCATGTATGCCTCATCGATGCTGGCTCTCTCTATGACAGCGAAGCGAGACATCACCTCGATCACCTCCACACTGGCCTCCCTGTAACTGTGCACAGAAACCCTGTCAGACAGCGGCGATCTAATTCAACCCAAGAAACCAATGCAATTGAATTGAACAGTTGACCCAAAAATGAACATTTGCTGAAAATGTGAGAAATGTAGCATCGCATCAGTGTCTCAGCAATGGATGCTCTGCAGTGAATGGGTGCCGTCAGAATGAGAGCTGATTAAAAACATCACAACAACCCACAACAAGTAATTCACAGCACTCCAGTTCATCAGCTAACGTCTTGTGAAGCCAAAAGCTGAAACAAATCCATCATAAAGACGAGTCCTCAATCCATAATATTGCTTTCTGCAGTGAAAAACTCGTCTCATCTGAATCAGGAGAGAAATATGCACAGATCAAGCCAAAACAGCTCTAAACAAAATTGCAGGTGGATTTTGATGTGACAGCGTTATTATGGAGTCATATTTTAGCCGATTCAAGTTAACGATGGATTAGTTTCTTACAAACACGCAGCTTTTGTCTTCACAAGATGTTAACTGATGGACTGGAGTGGTGTGGATTATTGTGATGTTTTATCAGCTGTTTGGACTCTCATTCTGACGGCACCCATTCACTCCAGCGAGTGATGCAATGCTACATTTCTCCAAATCTGATGAAGAAACTAACTCATCTACATCTCGGATGGCCTGATGGTGAACACATTTCCAGCTAATGTTCATGTTTTATTCCTTTAGTGATCTGAACACAGCTATGAAAGACACGTTAGGAGGATTAGACATCAAATCAAGCACGTCTGTCGTAACTGGGGTTTTTTTTTTTTACAAATGCATGAAACCAACATGAATAGAAAGATTGCATTTCCAACGTGACACGTGCATTTTAAAAGTGTCCCTTTTCCTCATTTTGGACGCCCTATGTTGGGACTGAACAGCGTAATACCCATAATACATAATACTTACGGGGTGAGGTCAGCCTTCCCATGAGCCTCTCTGACTCGGGCCACCTGTAGATCAGGACACAGCCTCCTGGCATCATCTGCCCACATGTTCCTGCTGACCCCATCAGCTCTGGCCTCATAACTCACTGCTATAATGCTAACACAACACATGTTCAGTTTCAGGACACATATCCAGCTCGTTATTAATAAAGCAAAGGAACCCAGTTTTAATCATCACGACCATTTTCTTGACATTTAAGCACACAATTACCAAATGACAGTGCTAGCAATCAGACAAATCACATTATGCTTAATTCTTTGGACTCTGAGACTCAAAACAAATGAGTTATGAATAACCGCAATGAAAATTCACCTTCAGGTTGTTTACTGTAATTTGTTTTGTGGCATTTTCTTCAGTGCATTTTGAGGTAATGCTAAATTAATAATGGCATTTCAAGAGAAAACATTGAAAGTATATATCTCTGTAAATATTTTTTACATGACAACAGAACGTTGTTCTGGCCTGTAACGCCTCTCTAATAAAAGGCAATGTCACTCTGTAACGTTACGTGTCTCACCCTCCGCCTTTCCATGTCTTGTATTGCGCAACAACGCAGGGCTTGTTTTTGAGCTCGGGATTGATTCTTTGCTCCACTTGCACATAGAAGCAATCCATGTCCACCAGCGCGATCACTCTGTCCTTCCCGATATCCATCAGATTCAGCACAATCCCTGCTGCACCTCACTCCAGAAACACAGCAGTAACGCTTCACGCGCTCTTCTTCTCTCCTCCGAGCATCGCGCGCTGAGGCTGATCACCGCCTCTAGTGGACCAAGACTTGTGTTCCGATTTGATTTGTTCAATTTTTAATGATTTTATATTTTACTCATAATACATAATATTTATAACGTGTACAGGATAAAATAGCAAAAATAAATTATATATAAATTATAATTTATATATAATTTATTTAACAATAAATTAAATAGAGCTCAAAAACAAACCCTGCGTTGTTGCGCAATTATTTGGGACGCACTATTTGACTAACTCTAGCACACTCTATTCTAATTCTATTCTTAAAAAAAACACTTGTCCCTTTTAGACTTGCACTCTATTCATTTGCTGCTTGTTTTCTTAAAAAAAACTAACACTTGCCTTTAATCTTTCTGTATTCTATCTGTTTTCTTTTCATTTATTATATTATTTAAAAAAACCTTGCTATGTGTGACTTGTTATAGCACTTGTATATCGTTGCTCTTTTGTTGATTTTGATTGCTTCCATTGTCTTCATTTGATAAAAGCATCTGCTAAATGACTAAATGTAAATGTAATAAATGCAAAATCAATTTGTATTACTGCATTTTTATTTTGTTATTAAACATGTACGGGTAGATAGTCAGACTGACAACTGACCATATCCGTTTTTTTTAAGTATAATGTAACTTAGGAAATAAACTACTTGAATACTTTGATATAAACCTGTGTCAATTTTACACAATGACTCTAAAGTGTCTTTATAATTTGGCTGTCCACACTAGACGCGACGCGACAGAATCAATCAAATATCCCAGCCAATCAGAAGCGTGTGTGGGCGGAGCCTCTGTGGAAGCGCACTGCACTCGCGACGAAATGGATAACTTTATTAGCTAATTCATAAATATTAAGGCTTTTTAACATCATTAAATGTACATACTGAGTGACTGTTGTTAACATCTTTGTCATGGAATACACTCGTTGGTTAGCAGAGTCCACAGTTTTAACGGTCATCTTTGCTTTAATTTATTTTCAAGGTCTGAGGTAAACTATCGTTGCTTTCAGTTTGGCTATAAGGTCACGCAATATGATATTTAAACTCATATTAAACACATTTAACTTTGAATAATTCAGATTATCTACTGTCATGTTGTTGTTCCAGCCGCGACGTCTCGGAAATAGAAACCGTTTCTAAATTTTCGCGTCGCGTGTTGATTGATCCAAGCACATTGATTGACAAAAGGAAGGCAGACTGCCACATGCAGTGCCTCATTTGGATGTGTTTGAAGTCTTGGAGCTCGACTTCCCTACGTTTCTCCTACAAATGGGCCTTGAGCTTGTTTGGAGGTTCTAGCAGGGGAGCGCAGCTACTTCTATACCAACGATCGTCCGCCGGGGGATCTCGTCCTCTTCCACCGAGCGCAGAGCTTCGGGAGGGACACACATGGACCGGTGAGGGAGGAAGGGGACACCCGCCTAGCCAGCCAGATCAGCCGAATCAACCCTAGCGATCAATGGGGTGACAGATGAGATTATCTACTGTCATGTTGTTGTTCCAGCCGCGACGTCTCGGAAATAGAAACCGTTTCTAAATTTTCGCGTCGCGTGTTGATTGATCCAAGCATTGATTGACAAAAGGAAGGCAGACTGCCACATGCAGTGCCTCATTTGGATGTGTTTGAAGTCTTGGAGCTCGACTTCCCTACGTTTCTCCTACAAATGGGCCTTGAGCTTGTTTGGAGGTTCTAGCAGGGGAGCGCAGCTACTTCTATACCAACGATCGTCCGCCGGGGGATCTCGTCCTCTTCCACCGAGCGCAGAGCTTCGGGAGGGACACACATGGACCGGTGAGGGAGGAAGGGGACACCCGCCTAGCCAGCCAGATCAGCCGAATCAACCCTAGCGATCAATGGGGTGACAGATGTCGCAGCCAGATCGCCCTCACATCCGAGAACAAGCGTCCGCTCACGAGGTATATATACCTCAGACGCGAGCGTGGTTTCTCTTCGACGGTAACCTCACATCAAGTTACTGCTTTCACACGTACGCGATACTTGCGCGATCAAATATAGATGTATGAAACACGACATGAATACAAACGGTGTATTTATTCGTTTATTATACTCTTTTGAAACTAAAACAGTTGGTATTTCCCACAATGCTTTGCTGCCCCGTTTCACAAGACTGTGATGACGCGTTTAACGGTCACCAGCATCATAAATCCTCCAAAGTTTTTCATATTTGTATTTTTTTTAAATGTATGTACATTTATAACAAACACTATCGTGGAGTTTTTCTTTTGCTATTTGAGCGAATGGGAATGCAAAAAATATATTTGTGGTGCTCTCTCATTCACGCTCTTCAAGTTAAACCAACTATGACGACTTCCGCTGCTGCTGAGAAACCCGGAAGTGTGAAAAAGGTCCATTGGCGTACGCAAACTGAAAGTAGCTGTCACACAGTGGACTAAGATTATTTAGTTTCTGTTAAATTTATATATTAAAAAAAGGTTTGAAGTGTCGCTTTATTTCGTGAAAATGTCTGAGAAAGTTGTGTTGCGTTACTTCAACGGAAGAGGAAAAATGGAGTCGATCCGTTGGCTTTTGGCTGCAGCTGGAGTCGAGGTTTGTTGCGCGAAGTCTGGAGAAGTTTTTCACGTCGATGCGATTAAATGGAATTTACGCTACATACATATTTAATAAAAAAAAGTTGCAAATAGTATGCATGGCAAATGACATTTGTGAATGTGTCTTTACAGTTTGAGGAAGTGTTTTTGACCAAAAGAGAGGAGTATGAAAAACTGCTCAATGGTATGTTAACTAATCACTAAATTCCTAATCGTGTTGTTTCATGACCGTATATAATAACGCAATCCGTATGTTTAATGTAGATGGAGCCCTGATGTTTCAGCAGGTGCCTTTGGTTGAAATAGACGGGATGCAGCTCGTGCAGTCAAAGGCCATCTTGAATTACATCGCTGGAAAATACAATCTATATGGAAAAGACCTTAAAGAACGGGCTATGTAAAAGTCAACTTTGTTTATGAAAAGTGTTTTGTAATCGATATGATTCCAAGTGGCCTTGCTTTTCCGCCACACCCAAGCAATTGTCACTGAATGCATGTTTTTGTCCTGAAGGATCGACATGTATTCAGAGGGTGCCAGCGATCTAATGGATATGATTATAATGCATCCTTTCAAACCAGCTGAAAACAAACAGATACACCTCAGTACTATAGAGCAGAAGGCCACAGATCGCTTTCTTCCTGTGTTTGAAAAGGTACCGACAGCTCTGCCGACGACTATTTATTCTCATTTATCCCATGCATGATTATCCACATGGTGCGTTTCTGGTTTGTAGGGTCTTGCAAACTCTCAGTTCCTTGTGGGAAACCAGTTGAGCCGTGCTGACGTTCACCTTCTTGAAGCCTCTCTGATGCTTGTTAATCACCAATTAATCTGCAAGCTTCCTTTTTGTTACAAGATTAAAGCGGAGATTCTAAAACCAACAGATTTATTTGGAATGTTCAAGATGCAACTTGGTGATTACAAAATGATAATACTGTGACATGAACACAGCAGATGTCGGGAGAAAGGTCCCAGTGTGGTCTGTCCACGAGCACTTAGAAGATCAAAAGCCGCAAAACCATCAGGAGGCTGAAAACAGAAGACCGTCTGATTGAGCATTTACACCGAACCAGCTCTCAGTGCTTTGACACATCTGCACCTGTCAGTGTAACGTAACATGCATTTGCTTTAGCTATAATATTGATCTATTGGAGCATATAAAAAAAATCATTCTTCCTAGTGTTAGTGTGTGAAAACATGACTTCTGTAAGTCACCCTAAAATGAACACTAGCATAATTTACTCAAATGCCACTGAATGTCATGGTATTTTTTTTTCTTACTATTGAAGTCAATGGGGACCAGCAACTGTTCAGTCACCCACATTCTTCAAAATATCTTCGGTTATGTTCAACAGAACTAAACTCAGGTTTGAGGGCGAGTAAATGATGACAGCATTTTACTTCTTGCATTAAATATGAATATGCTTGGCATAATTTTAGCTCCATCAGCCAGCCGTAGTCTGAACATATCATCATTCTTCTTAACGCGAGAATTTATATATTTTTCAACTGTGATTCTATGAACGCCGGACATTTTCATTACACAAACTTTAGGGATTTACCTCAGTCCCGCCATGATTCCTGCAGGCATTAATTTTCCAGATTTCCTGAATCTCATTCCCATCACAAGTGTCAGTACACCGGCAGCAGCTAGTGCGGAAAAAGTCATGGAAAAAAGAAGTTCAAAGCCGATATATGCAGAGTATTTCTGAATGGTCGAGATTAGTGATTGTATTTTTATACTTACTTAGAGAGGTCCAGTAATCGTGCGGATCATTTGTTATTTTATATGCTCCATATGCAGACACACTTCCAAAGAAGAGTCCGGCAATTAACGACACCACACTTCCTGCAGAAGTCAGTCATTACATTAAATATCCCCATCAATCCCTTACAATAAAGTACAGTGATGTTATGGGATGGATATAGATTGCAGACAAAGTACGTCTAATAAGCGTTTAAAAGAATATTATGGCTTTGCAATTATATTCCAATACAAATAAAAATGGTGCATAATGCTTAAAACTCTATTAGCACAGTTAACAAATACCTCTTCTTTTATAGCCCATGAATCCGCCCAGAGCAAGAGCTGCAGCATAGGCAAAGCCCAGCCAGTCCACTGCCATTCTGTGCTAGAAAACAACATGCACAGATTAGAAGTTAGATTAAAAAAAAAAAAAAACTGTGATCATATCATCTTCTGACAGCTGCACACGTTCCCTTTAAAGGATGCATTAAAAACAACAGCACAGTTAACAAATACCTCTTCTTTTATAGCCCATGAATCCGCCCAGAGCAAGAGCTGCAGCATAGGCAAAGCCCAGCCAGTCCACTGCCATTCTGTGCTAGAAAACAACATGCACAGTGAGGGAATAATAACATATACACACTACAGACATAATCACACAATACAACAATCCGAAAATACACAGTCAACAATACCATTACCAGATATCGCGAGTGAATCGCAGGTATTTCTAAGAAAATAGCTGGAAATGAGCTGCTTCTTCTTCTTCTTCTTCTAATAATGTTTTATGGCGGATGGCAAACCAACTTCTAGTGCATTTACCGCCACCAACTGGACTGGAGTGTGAAGCACTAATAAGCAACTAATATATATATATATATATATACACACACATAAAAAAAAACTAAGTTCTCCTGATTAATCCTATTTCTTTAATGTATTTTATAATAGCACCATATATTTTGCCTTGTTCTGCATGCTCTTTCAAAAGCCTTAACAAATTAAATGATTCAACACCCATGTTTCTTACTTCCTTAATGAGTTTTAACCTTTCTTTTTACATTTTATTAAAGCATGCTCTATTGTTTCTGCCTGATTACAAAAAATACATTGACCCGTTTCATGTTTTCCTATATTAAACAGAGAGTGATTTAATCTAGTATGCCCTTTCGGATGCGAGAAATAATTGTATCTTCTTTCCTATTCCTAAAAACACTTCTTCTGTTTCCTACTTGCTGCTGAATATTATACACATGTCTGCCCTTGCTATCACAGTTCCATACTTCTTGCCACTTTTTGTTTATGAAGTTTAGAACCACAACGAGATCTTTCAGATCTTTCCATTTATTCAAGTTTACGGTTTAATTTACTGTGTAACTTTGAAAAATAATGCCTTTCTGAACTTAAAAAAAAACGCGTGGTTTGGTTCAAAAATGCGAGACTGACCTAAATGTATATCGATCACTCCTCTCTTCATTCTCTGCTAATGCCTCCACTGCTAAAAGGACATACCATCACAACAAAATTAACAATTTGCCTAACTCTCGCATGCTCTTTAAAACATTTTCCTCCCTCCTTTGTCCTCCTTCATCAACTCTAACAGCTGACGACTTTGCCACATTCTTCATTAATAAAATTACAAACCTCAGTGCACAATTTGCCACACCACAAACTGTCAAACACATCTTACCAGCAAACAAGAGCTTTTTGCTGAAGTTGACTGCAAATGTTCAAATTAAAGCTGAATATAATCATTGAGTTTTTAATATAGAAAACAAGCACACAGGGAACACTGACAGATGTAATGGTTTTCATTTCTACGCATGTAGACGTTTACCACTTGTACGATCAATATGCAAATGTGTGTTTTCAAGAGAATCTGTTTTGCTCAACAGTGTCCCCCATAAGGACAACCTGCCGGTCTCAAACTGACAAAACACTCTGAAAGAAAGACAATACTGATACGGTTACCATATTTATTCTTGAGAAGGAATATAAAAGGAACAGCAGATTGAAGGATGCAACCGGAGAATATCGATAAGACAAAAACGGGCTAATTTTGGCATGGCCGAGAAGACGCCTCAGTCTTTCCGGAGCGGCACGATCTCCTCTCGAATGCCTTCCTTGGTGATGATGCAGATCTTGAGGGCATCTCCGGTGTACACGTCCCTCTCAGCGGCCGAGATGAACACATCCTTCACCAGCTGCACGGCCTTCTCCAGGGTCAGGGGAAGCTGCTCCACGTTCTCCATGTTCTTGAACCCAATCTGAGACAAAAACAAACTCATTTAAGACTTCAAGAAGAAGAGGTCTGGCAAGACATATCAAGCCTTTCTCAGCTGGCAGTTCGATTTAGCTCAATAACACCAGTCGTACACATTTGCTCTGCTTATATTCTCCATGAACAAGAGTGTTAACAGCAAACCAACGGGTCTGAGTTTGAACATTAAGCCCAAAGTATACTTCGCTTTTGTATGCGTACACTCGAATGCGTAGCCTTTCAAACTATACTCTATTTGATAGCATGCGTGAACGCAGGCAGTCGCCACATGCGCTCTAGAAAGCGTCATCTTTGTCCAGTGTCTGCGCGGTTTTTCTCCAGAAGTTATGAGTGATAAAAATATCTTTGTACTCTTTTAACCCCTTAAGTGCCACCGGCCCACAGGTGGGCCCAATGGATCTCTTTTTTTTTTTTTTCACATATTTTAGTAATTATATATCATTTGAAAGCTTAAAACCTCAGAATTCATCCTGTGAAAACCATTTTTAAATCGGACATTGCTTTACCATGGAAATTGTACTTTAAAATCTTTTTAGCAGTCTCCTCCCCTTAGTGGGTGGAGTCAAGTGTCATATTTTCAAAATGCATTTATAATCTTGACAAAATACATATATTTGGAAAGGTCTGAGTCTCAAGATTCTATATTCGGTGGTTATTGTTTGATAGAAGTAATATTGACAGAGAAATTTAGACCTTCGTGACAGAAAAATGCATCAACAAAAATTCTACAGAGTTTGAATGGCACCCGGTGGCTGTTTGTGGTATAATGCCCTAAATAAAAACTCACAGGAACCTCAATTTTTTTTTATATCAACTTCAAATTTGGAACATAACTTATTTAGACATAAGGCTTTAACTTTATATCAATTTTGGATTCAAAAATATTTTGTAAAATATTTACTTTATATAAAAAATCAAAAAAATGGGTACAGTCCATTTTCTTTACAGTAAATGTAAACTTCTATAACTTTTTGATACTTTAATATTTTGAAATGATTCCACTTCTGCAGTAATCTGCAGATTGTCTTCTTAAAAAGAAGTCCAACTTTAGGTCTGTATTCCAAAGTTTTCATGAATTATAATAATTTAAGTTTGGATAGTGCACATTCAGAATGAATCAGAATCAGAATCAGAATGAGATTTATTGCCAGGTATGTTTACACATACGAGGAATTTGTTTTCGTGACAGAAGCTTCCACAGTGCAACAGAATGACAGTGACAGAACAAAAAACACAGATAATAAAAAATAAAAATAAATAAATAAACATTCGTAAAATAAACGTAAAATAAACATTCACGTCTATGTTCAAAAATGGGGGGGTGGCACTTAAGGGGTTAAACTAAAGTTGTGTCTCTCTCATAACAAACTTTCACAAGCGCTAGTCAATGAGGCCGTCTGTTGTTGTTCTGTCTCTTGATTTTTTCTACTGTGAAACAGCGGCCCAGGCCAGTGCTGCCACCTTGTGGAACAACTGATTAGTGCAAAACAAATCCAGCGCGCATGTGACCTGTACGTACAAAGTTTGTGCAGTTACAAAAATCGGTTTGTGTGCGTACAGTACGCACATACCATTCTGGAGATGAAACTTGCGTCAGGCACACTTTATACGGACCCTCACATATGTGTAAAAACTAAAAACCGAAGTATACTTCGGGCTTTACTTTCATTTTAAATGCTGAATGAAAAGATGAATCTCGTGAAAACATGTCCAGGGTGCATTTCACCTTAAAATTAAAAGATAATTTGTATTTTGCTCAATGAAAATGAAGCCTTTACGACTTTTTCAAAGGTGACATTTTCATGACAATTAATCACAGTTGACAAAAACCAATATGTGACCCTGGAGCACAAAACCAGTCATAAGGGTCAATTTTTCGAAAGTTTCGAAATTGAAAGCTGAATAAATAAGCTTACCATTGATGTATGGTTTGTTAGGATAGGACAATATTTGGCCGAGATACAACTATTTGAAAATCTGGAATCTGAGGGTGCAAAAAAATCTAAATATTGAGAAAATCATCTTTAAAGTTGTTCAAATGAAGTTCTTAGCAATGCATATTACTAATCAAAAATTAAGTTTTGATATATTTACGGTAGGAAATTTACAAAATATCTTCATGGAACATGATCTTTACTTAATATCCTAATGATTTTTGGCATAAAAGAAAAATCTATAATTTTGGCCCATACAATGTATTGTTGGCTATTGCTACAAATATACCCCAGCGACTTAAGACTGCTTTTGTGCTCCAGGGTCACATATGATATATAAATATTTTGCGAAGTCTTATTTTTACAGTAATAAGAATTTAGAGGGGGGACAAAAATGCTAAATAGTCCTGAAAACGGTCTATATTTTCTTGAAGTAAAATACAATATCTTTCTTTTGATTGTGAGTATAGATATGACCTCTTTAGGTTTTGTGAGATTCACCCGACTGGACTGCAATGTCTCACCTGGTTGTCAAGAAGAGGCTGCAGCATTGCACTCGCAGAGCCGCCTGCTTTATAAGTGTCTCTCTGGTAAGAACCAACTGGATCAAAGCTATAAACGGCACCTCGACCTTGAATGAAAAGCAAATTGGCTATTTAAATGGACAATTCTGTATAAAAAAAAGTGTATAATAAACTGTTTATATATTTCTGAGCTACAGAATTTAAATAGTATTTCTATTAATTTTAACATGTGTAAGCATCTTTGACGATCTCCATTCCCTCTGACAAACTCACCCTCCTCATCGAGACCACCGATAATGTTGTAGACATAGTAAGGGAAGAAACGCTTCCCGTACAGGATGGTGGACAGCATGGCGGCGATAGCTCCACTTGTCATGCTCTTATTATTTGAGTGCTTGTACATCTACAAGGGAAAGAAGGTCGTTATTGAGGAAACCTACAGCTCATAAAACATGTCCTGTCACATTATCAGCACTGACTGAACATGACCTGACCAGAAAATATGACGCGGTTTTGTCGTCAAACACACCTTCAGTCTTGCCTCAATGATTTTGGTTAGCGTCAAGCAGTCCCCATGGAAACCACTGCAGCCAATCACTGTAGTGTCTGTCCTGTACGGGAATGAGCCAGAGAGATCAGGTTCATCTTCTCCATACACTTACAGCTAAATCAAAGCAGCACAGAAAGCACTGGAAGCCATAAATCAGATATTCACTATATATTTGGCCAATGAACCCTTCAGACCCGAATGTTTTTTCCACTGAGCAAAAAATAAATAAATCAATAAATAAATTATCCAGTTGAAATTTGCTCTTCTTCAGCGCAGAAATTAGTCTAAAGCCAAGATTTGTGCCAACACATTTTTTTCCATGTCCACTACAATAGACGCCAGGACAAAAACAGCGCTGAAGTGCTCATATTTTAACCGTTTCCTAACGACAGTGTCATTAGTTTAATAATCGCCCCTTATCTTACAACTCGTAAAAAAAATCTCTTATTTAAAATCTGCAAATTTGAATCAGTTCCAACATTTCAAAGAACAAATATCAAAAATCTAAAAAAAAAAATTAAAAAGAGATTTTATTTTTTTTTTTGACTGTTTGAGGCACAGCATTAGTGCTGGGCGGTATGACCAACATATTTTCTACTGATTGAGAGGAAATACTGCAGTATATTGACTTACAATGCCATTACCATTTCATTTTTCCAACTGAAAGTCGCGCTTGTGCGTGTGTGAGAGACGCGGGAGCTGATGGCAGGGGGCGGTGGATATTTGTGGCGGTCAATGTGGATATTGTGGATGAGTTCTTCTGTTAGTTCTACAGCTTCAGTTTCTGAACGTTTACGCTTAGTAACACATACAGCTGTTCCCTCACCAACAATGCCATTACCATTTCATTTTTCCAACTGAAAGTCGCGCTTGTGCGTGTGTGAGAGACGCGGGAGCTGATGGCAGGGGGCGGTGGATATTTGTGGCGGTCAATGTGGATATTGTGGATGAGATCACGTTCTATTAGTTCTACAGCTTCAGTTTCTGAACTTTCACGCTTAGTGACACATACAGCTGTTCCCTCACCACAGTGCAACAGTGAAAAGTTCAAACTAGTGTCGCGTTCCAAACGTTGTTTAAGCGATATACACCGGTATTGCGGTATTTTAAAAATTCAGATCATAACAAAAATAAACACCGGTATTCGGTATGAACCGGTATATCGCCCAGCACTACACAGAATAATTAATGGGATCTCACACACACACACTCACAGTTTGTAGCATTTGGGGGAGTCTCGGCTGTGGATGCTGTATCCTTCACTTAAACGCGTGTCTGAAGCCACGAGAGCAAAGTCTTCACCAGCCACCGCCAGCACAGTCCTGAGAAGATGAGATGAAGCAAAACACACATTATATAATGCAACAGTACAGTTCAGCTCTTTCCTCACAACTTATAGTGAGGACAGACAGGACTATTTCCACACTTGACTTAAGATTATGTACTCAAATTGTTTAAAATTAAGTCATTTAGTGTTTATGTACAAATTATATGTTCTTTGTCATCCAACTAAATGATGAAAACTAAGAATATTATGATCTGCCTTCTCAGAGTGCAGTGCAATGGCATTGAAACAAGTCTGCAGAAATCAATAATAGGCCATAAAAATCTACATAGCATATTAATAGTGCAGATATCAGCTGTTTTGACTGAGAAAGTATGGTTTCCCGTCGAATGCTGCACTGATGATAGAGGAAGTAAAATCAGCACAGCTTCGATCAATTATACCGTGCTGTTAGACTCGAGATTGGACTCCTGCGACTGAGTTTAACTCTCGGGAGTTAGCAGAGAGAAACTTGCAGAAGCAGGAATCGCGAAACAGACTTTCTAAAGAGTTAGCAGCTGAATTTCTGCTGCCCTGTTCTCTGGCTCCTGTGCTTGAGGAAGATGGAGACAGAAAGCGCCGCTTCTTACCCTCCGTTGAAGGCATAAGGAGAGAACTTATGCTCCACTGGACCTGTGTAGTGATACTCCTTCATCTTTCCATTATCTCCATAAGCCCGAGCAGAAATCATCATGAGCTCCTTCACCGAAACTCGCTGTATCACCGCAATATGGCCGCCGGAAGTTGACAGGTCCTTTGTTTCCTGTGCGCTTACGTCACAACGTTCGCAGGCACATGGTAGCTCGTACCGCCGTCTGCTGGAAGCGTCACAGGTGTGAATAAATATTCAAATTTCGAGCACCTCCACAGAGGTTACTTTAGTCAATTGTAGGCCTGTATAGGCGAAACAAGCTCCCAGTGACTCGCATTGCGTGAGCAGGGTTAGCATTCATCTGAAGACTTTCTATGAAGTAACACAAGACACTGCTATCAATGTTCATGCAGTAAAGCAGCTATTGTAACTAATATATCAGTATGTAGTCTACATAGAGAAATCCCAATGAAGCCCTAAATGGATAACCACAAAAAAATACATTGTGCATTTCTATATGTTTTAATAAATAAATGTATCTGTAATTATTCGTCTTTTGTGATGCTTGTGTTCTTTTCTTCTTCCTGTATTCCAAATATTTTAAAATGGATTCTTTATTTATATTATATAGAATGAATAGATCTCTATTTGTAACCTCTTCCACTTCCCCATCCCTATTTATTACTAGTCTATATATCTATTCGCCTGATAAATGAAAATATCAAACGAGATAAATAATAAATAGGGGAAAAAAATAACCAGTCACAAAACATCCTGATGTGATATTATGTCAAGGGATTGTCACAGAGCAACGACTCTTCACAGACACTTACATTCAAAACAATTTCCAAAATCAATACAAGCAGAAGCAATTAGGTGAGAAAGTACTACCCCTAATTTTTGTTTTGTTTTTTGGTAATACTATTTTTATTAAATTTTCTTCAAACACTTACAAGACTGACACATGTACACACTGTGTCTGTAACAACACTTACAATGTACCAAAAATAAAAAATAAAAACACTAGGGGCTCATATAACATGAAAAGTGTGATAGCACAAACCAACATTAGGTTAATACAGTACGTACTTTGGAAGCTAGATTTAATAATCCATTGCAAACAATAACAACCACAGCTGTAAGGGGTTAATATAATGCACATTAACATATATTTGAATACTTGATCCTCCTCTATTATATTGTTAATATCCCTACATTCAATAAATAATAAAAAAGGACTCCAGATTTTCTTAAATTTAGCTTCTTTACCCTTTAGAATATAGGTTATCTTTTCCATTGCAATGCATGAAGATATTTCTCTTAACCAATGAGTTATGGTAGGCCTTTCTGTCTTTTTCTCATAAATGGCAATGAGCCAATAAAAACACTAGGGGCTCATATAACATGAAAAGTGTGATAGCACAAACCAACATTAGGTTAATACAGTACGTACTTTGGAAGCTAGATTTAATAATCCATTGCAAACAATAACAACCACAGCTGTAAGGGGTTAATATAATGCACATTAACATATATTTGAATACTTGATCCTCCTCTATTATATTGTTAATATCCCTACATTCAATAAATAATAAAAAAGGACTCCAGATTTTCTTAAATTTAGCTTCTTTACCCTTTAGAATATAGGTTATCTTTTCCATTGCAATGCATGAAGATATTTCTCTTAACCAACAAGTGGGCCATTCTGTCTTTTTACAATAAATGGCAATGAGCTTTTTGGCATGTAAAATGCACATGTATCAATACTTGATTATCCTTTTTAATATTCCGGTTCTCTGGATAAATGCCAAGAATGAAAAACCCTGTTATTACTACCACCCCTAATTTAACTGCAAAGACAAATGCACAGAACACTGAAGTGCTCTCACTATAGTCAACACTTCCTACGCAACCTACAGCTTGTATTAAATGCTGAAACATGCATTTTTAGCTACTGATGAATATAAGCATATTTCGGGAAAAGAACACCATGCACATGCAGTGAGGTTCAGCTTTGGGTGTGACAGACGCCTGCAGGCACCTGTGGTTTCAGAACCTGTCCATCCAGAGAGTGTGAAGCAAGGCGGCGCTTTCTCCACCCTCTTTGCTGAAATGGTAATGTTTCCTGAGTCATGGGAACATTCAGTCTGTAAACTAATTGGTGTCTCTAGAGCTGTGTCTCATCTGCTGCCACTATATGCCTCTTGAATGGTTGACAGAAAAGCCACACCCACCAATGCAGTCCATAAACTGGTCAGCTCTGATTCACGTGAAATCGTAAGCACAGGAATCAGACAGCACTATAGTTTCTTCATGGGCGCATTAAAAGGGTGGACGTATGATTTCCCTTGAATTATTCTGATTAGGCCGTTTCAGGGCTTGAAAATGAATACGCCCTTTGATTCATGCAAAGGCAGCAAAAATGACCAGATTATTAGTCAATATAGTAGATGTGTCAGAAAAGAAAACATGCACACGATTTTATTAGCTAAGTTTGCAAGACCACAGTCCCGTTTGTATGTTTGTTCATTCTGTACATTTGTTTTTACACATGCTATATATCTTTTAGGGAGCGCTTGTAGTATTGCAATCAACACCAGGTTTCAAACAGTCTGTACATAAGACTGTACAAGTTTGTAATATAGAGGTTTACTGAATATTGATGGTAGAGTAATTGCAGAAACTGACACTTCCATGACAGGGTTTGCTTAAATTAACTTTCCTCTTAATTCATAAAATTTCATAATTTTCTTTAGTGTTCTGTGTTTATGTATTGCATGCAGTAAATACAATCTAAAGTATTAAAGTGTTGATAACTGTATTTAAAATTTAAAAAAAAAGAATTTGTTTCAAATGAATAAAATACTCTTAATCGCAAAGTCCACAAGTTTTAGGCCTATGTTAAATTCACATTTTAAAAACAAAATTGTTTCGAAGGACACTACAAACTCACTTTCTGTGTCTCACACAAACATGCATACACATGGACTTCTCACTGCCATCAGATAGAGCAAAACCAGCCACACAGTTTACATAAACAAATATTTAGGGTTGTGCCACTAGTAGCCTATTGTGTATCGATGATATAGTCAGAGAAATCACCTTGCCTTGCTATTGCTTTTGACATTATTATTATTATTATTATCATTATTATCAGGCTAGTACTAATATCTAATTAATATTAGGCTTATTTGCTGCATCATATTTCTTTTCCCGCATTTTACAGTGTTGCCTGTTTTAACCAATCACACACGATTCCGTTGAGTTTATGAATGCAGCGGCCAATCAGAAGCGTTCAGACGAGTCATCGCTGAAACACCGGAGTTTTGTTGTTCAGTGCGTGCGCTCGCTGACTGATTTCTGCTCTCTCGCGAATTCTCTCATCATAAACAACAAAGTGCAGATGTATGTGCATTGTAAGTATAAGAGATGTATTCATCATACAGTGTAGACAACTTCACTGATTATAACGGGAGTGTTTTTAAAGTGCATAAACTCGTGCTAGACTGAAGTCAGTGATGTTCTTTGATAATTTAAATGCTCGTTTTCCATAGCTGCTGTTTGAATAACTGAGGAAATTAAAGTATTATAATTAGTAAATGTTTCTATTAAATTGTTATCAGGTTAAATACAAATTCAGTCATATTAAAAATATTTTATGATAAGACATCCATATGCTACTTACTTGAAAAAAAATATAATGTGTCGTTTATACATTTATATATTACATTAGGCTGCTTTTAGCCTTACCCTGGAGTTGGTTCAATCTCCGGCTATGATTATAAGTAAATAATTCAATAAATTAGCATGATAATATCGTGTATTGGCGATAGGATAGCACGATTCTTTTCCTCAGTGAAGCTTATATAATTGTTATTAATAATTGATTGTTAAGCGCAGAGAAGCGCAGGAGGAACGAGTGAAGGAGACGCGCTGAATGAAAGCGCACATTCACTCTCTGACAGCAGGTGGCGCTGATGGAACAGCAGAAATGCAGTCGTAGCTGCACTACTTTCTGAAACGTATCTAAATCATTTAAACAGCCATTCAGATTTTTGTATTCGCTATGGTGTTCAAAGCAGCACTGAATACTTAAATACTTACATTTAATTTTACATTTTAATCTGGACTACAACATGCCGTAGATATTGTTTGAAAAGCTTTTGATTCTTTATTGTCCGGTCACACTTTTCATTAAGGCTCCATTAGTTAACATTAGTTAATTCATTAGTTAACATAAACTGCCAATGAAAAATTCTTCTAAAGCATTTATTAATCTTAGTTGATTTCAACATTTAATAACAAGTTGTATTTTTTTAACAAAGAACTTAACTTCTGTTACAGATGTTGCTCATTGTTAATGCATTAAGTAAGGTTAACTAATGAGATCTTATTGTAAAGTGTTACCTATTAATTCTTTTGAACTTTAATCCATTTGAAACAATAGTTTACTTTGTAAATTTGTTGTCCAATGGTTTATTGTGTTTAAATGTTCGATTTTTTATTATAAAACAGTTATTAACCCAGTTTTACTGAATTATGACAACATTTTTGCAATTTATTTCAAAATCGTGATAATACCGTATACCGTGCAATTATCGCAACATGGAAACTTGATACCGTCACATGCCTATGGCATTCTACAGCTCATTCACAGAAACTTCCCAGTAGGCAGATGTCATTTAACAATAGCTGTGTAACTTTTAAGGTACTGTAAAAGTTTATTGTCAATTCAAATAAAATTCTGCAGTGTAAAATGATTAAGTACTGCGTGTGTAATTGTAGTTGCCCAGCCCTGAAGCGCTCCACTCAAACAGGTCGAGCCTCTGCAGATCGGGTTTCACTGCGGGGTGGAGCTCAGGGAAAGTTTCAGATAAAGAGTGGCCTGAAAACATTCCGAGAGCTTCTTCACACTCACCCAGGAGACACCAAACAGTGCTATTATCCAAAATGTTTCGTTGTGGGATCGAGTATACGAGGTGCAGGTGGATCCTGCCTCTGCTTCTGCTGTTTGCGATTATTTTCGATATTATCGCCATTGCAGCGCAGTCTGGATGGGTGGAGGACGAGAACGCAAAGACGCACTACGCCAGCATGTGGACACAGTGCCGAGGCCGCAACGATCAGTGGGACTGTAAATCTCTGATGGAGCATCGTGAGTATTCA